GATCCTCGTGCAGGAGGGAGCCCCAGAGCCTTTTGGTGCTGACCTTGCTGACCCGTCATCTACCCAAGGCAAGCCCCGGTGCATAACCCTTATTTTAAATGATCACTGAATATATCTATGATGTGCATTTACGTTACAGGCATTTTATGGAAACTACATGCATAAATATATCTACCTATGAGTCCTACTAGTATAGGTCGAATAGCTGCTATGCTCAGGGTATCGGTAGCGTGAGTAACCTGCCGTTACTCACAAGTAGGTGATAAAGATGATCACTCATGATAAAATGGTGGAAAGGAAAATGGTGACCGGGCAGGGATATGGTTTGGGTACTGGTGGGTGTAAGGGGTTGTGTCCTACGGCCAACAGGACCGGTCGTTGCATAAGGCATCGTGGGCAAGTCACAGATTTATTATCCCGAGCGCATACTTGGGTATGGGCGCAGGGAAGACTTGTTGCTCTCTTATCGCGGATCCGCTCTTTCCGGACCGACTGATTGGAGGCGGAGATGGTGAAGGTCCTTGCACCACACTGAGTCCGGGATTCAGGAGTGGGGGTTTGGAGTCCAAGTTTGGACGAGGACCTGGACACCCGAGACAGGAGAGTGATGGGTTAGTCCTGCTTGTGCCTAGGGTACAAGCAAGGCGTGTGTTTTGGGGCACCCAGCTTGGCACATTGATCCACGAATCGCGGGGCGATCCGGTACGGCTTGTCTCGTGTTTAGCACCGTAGTAAGAACTGAAAGTTGAAATGAGAAGAAATAGAACTGATTGCTCAACTCTTGCTTGAAAGTAGAACAAGTGCTTATATAGACTGGATAGATAATAACTTAATACGGCTGATAATAATAACATAAATAAGGACTCACTATTAGTATTGCTTTCTGCTAAAAGAAAACCAGCAAACCATAAAGCTTATCATATTCCTTGAAGTCGGAAAATTATTCCCACTAGTCGGATAAGTCTTGCGAGTACATTGTGTACTTAGGGTTTATTTACCCCTGTTGCAGGTGATGCATGAGAAGTACCGTTGTGTGGAGGATTCTTCTGGTGGGCTTAGACGGATCCTCGTTCTTATCGCTAGATATTTATTTTAAATTCCGATGTTTATCATTCCGCACTCTGACATTTGGTGTTGTAATAATGTACTTTTAAGAAACTCTGATGTATGAAATGGACAAGTATTGTAACTCGTTCTCATTATTGGATCCTTGGAAAAAATGTGGATCTTTCGAGTTCTCCCTTGGGGTGTGTCCGACGGATACCGCCCGCTGTAGCTTGTTTTCGGGGTGCGTAGTGTCTGGTGGAAGACAAGCACCTCCATAAGCGTGCTATTTCGGACGGTTCTGTCACATCGAGCCACGACAGCAGGGACGATATATGATGAATGCGAGCAATATTGGAATGATTTAATGTTATATCTATTAGTCATTGTATCAGGGAGTGTAACTCGGTTGCTCATGAGTTAGCTAGACAAGCTTTGGTAGGCAAAAGCTCTCTTGTTTGGATAGATGATCCCCCTACCTTCATTCTGCAAATGCTTGTAAGAGATGTAACCGTTTTGTCGAATGAATAAAGCTGGCCGTAAGAATTCAAAAAAAAAAAGATAACTAGACAAGTGGACGAGCAGAATCTCAAGAGAAATCATGCGCAGGGGGGTGCTGGGCTGAGCTTGGGCAGGTGGTTAAGCTGTTGGGTTGGACGAAAAAAATAAAAATAAAATTTTGCCTCTTTAATATTAGATCTTTATAGATTAATGACTGATGACCATTTTGCAGGCTAAGGCAGGGTACCTTTGAGAATATTTCAGCGGAAACATAAGACATTCTGTGGGCCAAGTCCCCGAGATACTGCCGTTCCTACCTGTCTTCGGTGGTGCTCATGTTATGCAACGAGGTCCTCATGTCATGATGGTCACCAACATAGCAAGAGCGGGAAATAAAGGTGGTACATATGGAAGGTGCTGAATGTCTACCAATGTCGAATATGCAGGCACTTGCATAAATTTAGCAAGATATTTTAAATTATCTGTTATATAATAGCAAAAGTAGATATTTTAGGTGCATATTTAGGGGTTATTTTAAATTATTTTTGATAATGATTGAGGTGTTTAGTTTAGCTACAGATTATGTGTTCCTTTATGTATTTTTGAAATGGCAGAGGTGTTATGTGTGTATCCTTTTAATAACGCGATCCGATGACTATTATTTGCGATGATGATCAGAGTCTACCAAGTTAAACAATGTATACTTTTGATTATTATGAGAATTTTTAGGATATATCAGCCTCCAAGTACTAATAGTAAGAGTGAGCATTTTGTCAAGGGGAAAACAAGAGAAGCGTTCGAAAAATGTAAATGTAAACGTCATCTTACTCAGTACTTGTGCCCTCGAGAAAAATGCAAATTATCTTTAATCGTCCAGTACTATATATAGGTCGATGATTTTTTTCCCAATATAACATTAATGGCTCATGGTCTTGTCTTATACTCCATGTAAGGTACTGTACGTCGCTAGCCATGGTGGAGCTTGCCTCCAAAGAGTTCGCCCCTTGCTGGTTCGGCTTTGACTTTGTCTTCCCCTCTTATTTTTAGTCCACTGATGTTTTCATATGCACGTTGCTTTACCTATGCTGTGCAACATGGACGATGAGTCGATAACGCAACTCATGACGCGGGTCTAATGTGACGACATCTCCGTGCGAGGTGTGGAGGTGACATACGGACAGAGGTGGTTGTGGTTTGGTGATGATGCCCCGCGTGGATTAGAATGTGCCCGCCTATCTCCTTTGTTCTTTGGTCGTTTGGTGAAGTATGGCTGTATATATTTGTGTTAAAAAGACAGTTTTGCTCTGATCCGATATGTTTGTTATCCTTGCATCGTTGGGTTCTCTCAGTTTCGATTTAAGATTCAATTCGATTTCTATTTCTATTTTGATCTTGATTCATTATTCCCGATGGAGGAGACTAACATGTGTATTCAAGTCATGGACCCACATATCTTAAGCTTATAAAGATCACTTGACGAGCGGCCTAGCAGAATGTCAAAAGGTACGGAGATACTAGCGCCCGGACTTCGGACAGAAGCGCGTTCGGACGCCCGCCGCTCACGAGAGCATTATCGTTGCCCAGCACTTGCTCGCCCGTGCAGCCCACGCGGCGCACTCGCCCCTGCACATTCGCGGACGTGCGGCCGAACAGCCAGCGGAGCGCACCTCCATCGGCTATCAGCTGGGCCTGCCAGCGACCAAAACGGATCGGCAGAAAACGGCACGCTCCAGTGCCCCTGCCTCTACGACGGGTCCAACACCGGGTGGCTGTCTCCCACGCACTCCCCCTGGTTCCCCCAATCACGGCGCCATGCATGCTCGCCACGCCTTGCTGCACCCGCGCCCTTCTCGCCCTGCTGCTGCTCGCCCGCGCCTGCTCACCCACGCCTGCTCGCCTTGCTGCGCCCCCGGCGCTCGCTCGCCCCATAGGGAACACCTGTGCCTGGGGGACCGCCTGCGCCTCATGAAACACTTGCAGCATGGAGGATTTGCTGCAACATACGTCTAAAACAGACGAAACGTTTGGAACATACACTTGCAACATATGTGTGACTGGATGGCAACATTCAGATAAAACACTTGCAACATACGTCTGAAACATTTGAAACACACTTGCAACATGCTTCTGAAAACAATTGAAACATTTAGAACATACACTTGCAACATACGTGTATAGTCATTGCAACATGTGCAACATCCCGATCTACTTTTGCAACATCTAGATGAAACACATGCAACATCCAGATAAAACATCTGAAACACTTGAAACATACGCTTGCAACATGTGCTTTCAGCACAATGTCACCTTGTTGCTTGGACGAATGGAGGCTCGTCGTTACGGAGCTCGCCGGCGTGAAGGTCGGCAACGGCGCATGCAACTCGTCGTTGCGCCAGCGGAGTGGCGAGCACTAAGCGGCCTGGGCAAGCACCATCTTGGCGGCTTGGGCGCGAGGCCACAACATCCCTGGGCGAGCACATGCCCAGTGGCTTGGGGAGCACATGCGGAGGCCGCGAGCACCCCTGGCGAGCAGGAGGGCAGGGGCGTGCACTTGCAGCTGGCGCGGCGTGGGCCTACGCGTGGACCCCGCGGGCAGGGCGATCACGCACTGTGCAGGGGTGAGCAAAACAGTTGTACGCGCTGGCGTGCATGGGGCCGACCGGTGGCAAGTCAGCGTGGGCCCACGCAACTACGTGGCATGGTCGCGCATGCGCGTAGCGTGGTTCCCACGCCTTTCTTTCATGTGAGCCAGAGGGTGCTGCTGGCCGTTGGGGAGGCTGCTTTATAATGATTGAGGTGGGTAATTTAGCTACAAATTAGGTGTTCCTTTATGTATGTTTTAATGACAGCGAGGTGTTATGGGTGTATTTTTTATAAAGCAGATTAGATCTAATGACTACTATTTACAATGATGATTAGAGTCTATCAAGTTAAACAACATATACTTTTGATATTTTGAGAATTTTTAGGATATATATCAACCTCCAAGCTCTAGTAAGAGTGAACATTTTGTCAATGGGAAAATGAGATAAACGTTCGAGAAATGTAAATGTAAACTTCATCTTACTCAGTTACTTGTGCCCTCATGAAAATGCAAATTATTTTTCATCGTCCAGTACTATATATAGGTCGGTGATTTTTTCCATTGTTATAATATTAATGGCTCATGGCCATTTTTTAGGTTACGGTGTCGTACCTGTGAGAAAATTCTGTTGACCAAGACCTCTAGATAGTGCTTTGCCTATCTGTCTTCAGCATAATCAGCCTGTTCGCTTATTGGTTTTAGTCAGGGTTTATCAGCTAGCTAATAGTATTTTTCTCTCACAACAAACAAGCACCGGCCAGACTTATCCGTCTAGAAACTAACCGGCGAACAGGCCGAATATAAGAAGAGACATGTTATGAAATGAGGTTGTCATGGTTGTAACTAGCATCAGCAGGAGTGAGAAATAAAGATGGTGTACGCGAAAGCTGGGGAATCTCTACCAGTGCCGAATGTGCAGGCACTCGCACAAACCTACAGTAGATCCGACGAGCAGATCGCTGAGAGGTACATCAGGGAAGAAGAAGCTGCAGAGGAGGTGATCAGTGGTCGTGACATTGCACTTGCAATCCCAATCATTGATCTCAAAAGGTTGGTTGATCCGCAGTCATCTAAAGAGGAGTGTGCAAAGCTTGGATTAGCGTGTAACCAGTGGGGATTTTTCAGGTATATATTCCTAAGATCTTGGTGTTTCATAACATAATACAAGCAGATTGAAATCCCTAGTAGGAACCTGAATTTCTTTAATCTATCTCTAATCAATATTAAACCACAGAGAGATTTTTCATTTTGTCTGTTTTTTCGTTCCGTTCTGTTTTTGCTCAATGGGTCATTCCGCGTCTGTTTTATTTTTTTCGAAGCCCTTCTTTGGATGCACATGTATATATCTCAATCCATGTGTGTTGAAGTGGGTTTGTGTGGAATTTAAAGGATTAACATGTGAATCCAAACAAGCCAGAACTTTTCTGTTCTGCATGTTTTTTTTTTTTTCTGTCTCGGTTTTTTCGTCCCTTTTTTCATTTCATTTTTTTTCTATTCTGTTTTCAAGTTCCATGTCTATTCCTTTTCCTGTTTTAGTTTTCCGTTCTTTTTTCTTTCCCCAAACCAAAAGTAGAAAATATACATAATTATCAATTAATTAATAAAGTTAAAAATAGGAAATTCTAATAAAAAATAGGAAATTGAACCTATGACCTTAGCTTGGATTTCACCATTAAGCTATTGCCGTGCTTTTTTTTCTGCATACAAGTCATTCCATTTAACTGCTAGGTAGCAATTCAATCTGTTTGTCTAATAATCAAACAAATCAAGCTGCTAAGTGACAAATCAAGCAGTTTTTCGCCTATATATATGTCATGCCATCTTCGCCAATGATTACAACGTCGAGAATAGGGAGCGTTAGTCATCTCATACAAGGCAAGTGAAAGAGAAGCACACGCAAATTAGAGGACATACCCGTTTGGCTTGCTGAATCTTGGTTGAAACTGGCTGAAAAACATTATTCTGGCTGAATTGTTGTGAGAGAAAAACACTGTTCCGACTATCAACGGCTTGTTCGACTTCTTTTTTCAGCCAGAATAGTATTTTTCTCTCACAACAATTCAGTCAGAACAGTGTTTTCAGTCAGTTTCAGTCAAAATTCAGCCAGCCGAACGGGGCCTACACTCTAACCGGTTAAGATTCTTAGCACCGGGAGATACAAAAGTATTGAGCACAGGGCTGTGGTGCACCCAACCAAGGAGCGCATGTCAGCGGCAGTGTTCCACCAAGTGTGCCAGGATGTAGCGGTCGGCCCTTAGCCGGAGCTTTGTGAAGAACGACGGTGTTGCGCAGTATAGCTCAATGGGTTACATGGATTTCGTCAAAGGCTACTTCGCGGCGAAGCTTGATGGTGTTGCGCAGTATAGCTCAATGGGACTATGGGAGGAGCTACCTCGAGAGTCTGAAGAATTAGGGCCCCTTTGGAACGTAGGATTGACAAATACAAGAATAGAGAAAACACAGAAAAAGGATAGGAATGTATATAGAAAACAGAGGAATAAAAAACGTAGGATTTTTATTAGAATGAGTGTTTGGATGAGTAATAGGGAAAATGTAGGAAACAAGAGTACACGTACTGGCTTCTTGAGGTAAGCTAACTAATTACATGTGATCTAGTACTACACTATTGTATGCAATTAGTATCATTAATGTGTTCAGTTAAATCCTCTCTCTACCTCGATCCTAGGCATGGTGTGATGAAAAAATGAGATTGGAGTGGATGCTCTGTTTCTCATGTTTCACTAGTGAAATGTCTTCCAAAGGAATTTTTCCTCCGAAGTTCCTATGGCTCAATCCTCCCAACCAAAGGGCACTACAGTGCCAATTCCTATAGGAATCTTTTTCCTATGAACTTCCTACGTTCCAAATGAGGCCTTAATGTATATGCATGTTGGCCATCAAACAGTACAAGATGAATAACACGATTTATCATGTTCTCGCGTGATGCCTTTTCTAGTGTTTAATGGGTATGTTTTGTATTGCTGTTCAAGTACTCTGGTTGTAGCTTGATCTTCTATTTGCATCGCAAAAACTTTCCTCTGGTATGAAGGGGTTGAGTTTTATCGTTCATATAAGTTATATGGCGTCTGTTCCCATTGCCTTTTCCAAAAATTGGGTAAAAACATAGCCGGTGTCATACTTTGTATGTCGAAATAAAAAGTATTCTTTCTTTAAGAAACTTGCTTCTTGACTGATGCAACACGTTCATCAAGTTATAATATTTTGAGCAAAATTCACCGCTGGTCCCTGAACTTGGCCAGCGGTGTTATCTAGGTAGCTGAACTTCTAAAGTGATATATGTGGGTCCCTAAACTTGGCAGACGTGTCATCCAATTCTCTGAACTTTAAAGATGATCACCTCAGGTCCCTAAACTTGGCCGGTGGTGTCATCCCGGTCTCTAAACTTTCAAGGTGATCACTGCAGGTCCCCAAACTTAGCCAGCGGTGTCATCCCTATCCAAATGTGTCTAACCTACTCTATAAGCTGGAGTGGCATGCTGACTGTACGTTAGATGTGGATCTAACATGTGTCAATTAATCAATCATTATTTATATAATATTTATCATGAAGATATAAATTATATAAAATAATTTACATCAGCAAAAAAATTAAAGTATTAAAACAATTTACAACAACAAATATATTAGGTTTAAACTAAAATAGAAAAATACTAAAATTAATTTAATATTTATGTATCATTAATAGTATTAAAATAATATTAAAGTTCCTATAGTATTAAAAGTTTTCTCTATTAAAGGTTACTTCTAATTTTAGTATTATTTTAAAAGTTTTAATAGTAATATTATAGAAGTAACTTTTCTCTATTATTAAAACTATAATACTATAATACTATACTACTTTTAATAGTAGTTTTATAGTATTAGAACTTTTAATAATAGTGTTATAGTATTATAGTATTAATAACAGAGAAAAGTTATTTCTATAATACTACTATTAAAACTTTCAAAATGATATAAAATTAGAAGTAACTTTTAATAGAGAAAAATTTTAATACTATAGGTAACTTTTAATATTATTACACTTGGACAGGGATGTCACCGTTTGCCAAGTTTAGAGACATGCGGTCATTATCTTAAAAATTTAGAGACCGGGATGACACCGTCGGCCAAGTTTAGAGACCTACGGTGATCACCTTCGAAGTTCAGGGACCTAAATGACACCTTCTGTCAAGTTTAAGGACCCACAGATACCACTTTAGAAGTTCAGGGACCTAGATGACACCGCCGGACAATTTCAGAAACCGGCGATGAATTTTGCTCTAATATTTTTCACCTAATGCAATTGATACCTGCTACAAGCATGGATCCATATGGTTTCTAAACCGGGTGATGTAGAAGAATTCTATTAGCCAACCATCTTTCTGACAGTAAACCATCAAGCTAAATTGCCTGTCCGTACATCGACAGAAAGACTTTTCCTTTGGGTTTTCTCTATTTCCTTGACGGTTTTTCTTGGCACACAGGGGAATTTTAGTTTCCAATAGTACATAGAGTGAAAACATGAATAATGACTCCATTCATCAGCTCTAGACTCCATTTGTTATAGCGTGACAGTTGTGAATTGTAGTACTCTTAGGCTGCTACTGCAATGACATGAACACTGAATGCACTATAACAAAAATAGTATTCGCCAACAACATTTTCGCCGCTAGTACGGGATAAGACCCGATGATGAAAACTAGTAGACTCACCCCACGCATGTGCGCCGGTCTCTAGTGTGAGCTACTGCATACCAACTTGTGCTTTCTTAGAGTGACCAACAATCATATCTGAACACGGAGTTGCAATTGACCCAGAGAAGATTGCCGCTATGCTAAACTAGCTAACCTCAACTAATGTTATTGATCTCTTGCAGTTTAGTAACCACAACATGTAGTTGAAAACACCATCCTTTACAAACAATTATGAATTTCAAAGTTGTCATCTGAACCATGAAAATATCATGTAAATATATGTGGGAACAGAAAGAACCATAGGAAGATAATAAGAAAAGGATCTGAAAAATAAGGGAATCCAGAGATAGCTTCAATCAATCTCAAAATTGTGGTTTGTATCCAGAACATAATCAGAGGAATCCTGAAATGTTTCGTACATCACAAAGTTCAACATGGTACAACACATATTATGAGATACTTCAGTTCAAACCATTTTAATTCGGTGGTGGTGGCTGAATACCTTAAGCAATATACATTAATTTTACAGCTTTTCCATATGAAGTTCTTCATGGTCTTACTTCTTCTTTATCAATATAATATGTAGCTTTCCCAACTGTTCACTTTTTTTTGAAATTATGGACAGTCCCAAATTCCTAACTGAAACCTGATATTTCAATGCTCCAATCACTTATATTCAGTAACTTATATAATGCATTGCAGAAATGCGTATGTTGCGATGGATTTGCGGTCACACAAGAATGGACTGAGTTCGGAACGATGATATACGTGATCGCCTAGATGTAGCACCAATTGAAGAAAAGCTTGTCCAACATCATTTGAGGTGGTTTGGCCATGTCCAAAGAAGACCTCCAGAGACACCAGTGCATTCTGGAGTCCTAAGCCAAGCTAATAATATGAGGAGAGGTAGAGGAAGACCGAAATTGACATGGGGGAGGTAATAAAAAGAGATTTGAAAGCTTGGGATATACTCCCTCCATACCTACAAAGAAAGTTGTTTAGGACATGATTGTGTTTACCAAGGAGTGATTAATTATGATAGAGTTATGGTAGAATTTTCCCTATTTGTCCCTAATAAATACGTCTGTGGCTGCATTCCATAGGAGAAAGTTCCTGAGTTTTACTGGCTAGCGCAGCTAGTCCCGAGTCCGGTGGTGCTGTGTTCGAAACCCCGTGGACTCGAACTTTTTTGCCTGTGGTTGCTGCTGCCGAATCTTTTTTGCATGGCACTGTTGGCTCGCGCGCTGCTCGATGTGGAGTGCTGCTGCTGCATGGCGCGCGCTGCATGCGTTCGTTGCCAAAATTTTTTGAAGCGCGCGCAGTTCGTTTCCAAATTTTTGTTCTTCGCTGTGAAACGTTCGCGTGGCGCGCTTTTTTTTTGCTGGCGCGCACGACGACCCGGTTTCATCGCTGCGAAATGTTTGGACTGCCGGTCTGCGCCATCTATTTAAAGGCAAGAAACGTTGCTTTCCTTCTTAGCTTCACGTTACCACTGTCCGGTGTTCTTCTTAGCTTCTGTTTTCATCTATCAAATGAAATGGTTGATCCATGGCTCGACGGAGTCCTCGACGGAGAGCGGCGAGACGATGCTGTAGATGAAGGCGCGCGGCGAGGCTGCGGTAGATGAAGGGATGCGGCGTTTAAGGGAGGCGTGCGAACGGGTGTCGAGTGAAACGAAGCGGCCACGATTACTGCCGCTGTGCACGCTCGCGGAACGACGGACTCCGTGATTAATGCAGGGGCAAACGCGTCCATAACCACGACCGCGCGGCCAAGACGACAAACTTTGCGAAATCGGTGGTGTGAGCCCGGACGACTTCCTTTTTTAGGCATGGAGGGAGTACCTAGAGATCTATGTTTGAATAGGAGTACATGAAAA